GCAATCTATTCCAGACAACCTTTGGATGAAATCAAACTGTAGAAGAGGTTGGAACGGGGCAGTTAATGGCATACATTGAGATAAATACATATACATACATAATATGAGAACATAAAATATAATAGGTAAATAAATAAAAGTGATAGTTATGACTCTATTCAGTTTGTCGTACGTTCTGTTTTCTTTTTTATATCTGTTCACCCCCAACACTTTTTTTGTCAGGGGAAAATCATCAATTGACTTCTCCGGCCAAGGTGTGACGAGAGAAAGAAACTCCCCGTTCCTTCGCCTGCTCTAGGCCGAGGCCGCGGTGCCTCATAACGCTTACCCCGCAACCCCGTCTAAACATCAGCCCTATAGGGCCCAGTCTGTGGTGTTCTATTCGCTCCATAGCTCTTTTTGGCGCGCGTGGAACGCGCCATACGCTCGGTTTAGTTTGATGTAGCGAAAATACCTATCCTATATGTATATATAAGAGTAAAGACAGGTATGACTCACCAGCTACAACATTCGTTAGCATAGTCTTAAAGCAGCTAAGGTACACGCTCTTCGTGTCTTCCAGATAATGTGCCATCCTCTTAACCCGAGGGTCTCGCAATTGCGAGTATATACCTTCAAGATTCTTGAGTCGCTGTTGGTAGAACATTAAATCCTCACTCGGCAATGGAAATTTCTTTCTCTTGAACGCTGTCATCAAATACGTACAATTTATAGAATAAGAGTATCTTTGATTAAAAAGTAGTATGAAGTAAAACTGTATTACAACTATTTCGCACATTGCCATTAGGAGTCGGAGAGCCATGCTTCGGAACGAAGGGGCCGGCTCGACCGGAGTGATAACGCGGCCTCACAGAAAGCCGGCGTGAAGCAACACTTACATTGAGTTTCGCCCTGTGAGTAGAATTACCGAAGGCTCAATACTTCCTCCCCCCATCTTCAATCCTCAAATCCCCTATTTTTAAATCTCTAATAACCCACAATAGGCCGGCAACGCATTGTAGTTACGCCTTTTTATATTACGACTGTCCATGGGCGGCGCTAATTGCTTACCATCAGGGAATTCGTCTGCTCGTTTGCCGACCTACTAACATATAAAAACTCCAAAATTAGGTGATAATACAACCTTATTCGAAATAAGAATCTAACATCAAAAACGCGATAAATCAAAAGATTAATATCTCTTTCTCTCCCAACAGTCAGTACCTACAATATTAAGTACATGCTTACCAATATAAGAATCCTGTGCTAACAAATCATGGACCTGTTGCGCCCATTTTATTATTGCTCCCTCTATGTTGGTTTTCAGGTACAAGTCTACATTTTCTCCATCACTGCAACATGCGATAAATTTAGGGTGAGATAGCGGCCAAACTCCAGCCTATTACTAATTTTAAAAAAGCAAACGTGTCACTTGTGTCGTGGTGGCCAGGTTAAGGTGCCCGCTTCTCATGCATGAGGGCGTGGGTTCGAAACCTGGCAAGTACCAATGTGACTTTTTCCGAGTTATATGTACTTTCTATGATTATTTGGACACCTCTGACATACGGTGAAGGTAAACATCGTGAGGAAACCTGGACTTATAATCTCTAATTATAAGTTTGAAATTGCCAACTCACATTGAGCAAGCGTGGTGATTAATGCTCAAACCTCCGTGTGAGAAGAGGCCTTTGCTCAGCAGTGGGCACTTATGGGCTGATGATGTGATGTGAAACGTGTCACTTCAGTTGACTTCACTGACGATAGTGAAACGCGAATTTTTATTAGCATTTTACCTTTCTTTTAACCTAGATTCTGCATGATAAATATTTTCTACGCCTGCCGGCATCGGTAGTAACACTTGACTAGACATTTCTCCTTTTAACTGCAATAAGAGATATTTTTATATGCGCATCTATTGTAGAGAATAAAATTTACGACATTTAAATATTTACTTGCAACCAACCTGGTACATCAAATTCCTCAGTTCGTTGACATGTCTCTTCATATCATTCTGTACTATTTTGGGCCACCCTTTTTGATTTTCTGGATTACACAATAGTGGCCCGATCACTTCATCAGCCAACACAGTTAAGTCGTGCAAAACATTACCTGATATTTCCCCAATAGTAAGGATCTGTTAAAGTATACGAATAAGGTTCAATATCGAGCTTATAAGTTATATTATACTTCAAACTTTCACATTGCATATGACTACTTTACTGCCCGACGGGATTTAACGAGCACGTGCCTTTTAAAAAAAATCAAATAGGTATAAAAAAGATGCGTGCGCGTTATATCCCGTCAAAGAGTAAAGAAGCGTATGAGCTGTTACGTCCGTCTACGATCTCGATATCTGTACTACGCCGTAACTCATATACTAAGACATAAATTATATGCTACGACTTTAATCATAGGCTACCGCGTATCTCATATTATACCACCACGTAACTCTTCGCGCGCGTCTACAGTTTGCGCGCAGACGCGCATCGCCGGGGCGAGGATCCTCTGCCGCGCCAAATTAGTGCGTGGCGGAATGAACTCCGGCGAGATGTCATGTCACGAGAGCCGGGCACGCTATTATAGCAGCGGTAAGACCCCTCTTTGAGGAGTGGCTTGAGAGACGCCACGGCGTCTTCACCTTCTGCCTGACGCATGTCCTTACCGGATACGGCAGCTTCGGTAGGTTCCTGTTTCGGATCCAGCGGGAGCTTATGGGCGGTGAGCTGCCCTTACTCGCCGACCGCAGACCCATATCCCAGTGTCGCCTGTTGCGGCGGCTGGGGCGTGAGGAGGAGGTTTGCTCCCTCACGCGGGCCGCCTCTCTCTTTGCGAGCATAACTGCTTCACAGAAGGAGGAGACGGCGTCCCAGTTCCTCTCACTCCGCACCATGGCTTGTGCCAGTGTGGGAGAGCCATGCTTCGACACGAAAGAGTCGGCTCGACCGGAGTGATACCACGGCCTCACATAAAAACCGGCGTGGAACAACTACAGCGTTGTGTTTCGCCGTGTGAGTGAGGTTACCGGAGGCCCAATACTTCCCCTTCCCCAATCCCTCCTCATTTCCTAAATCTCCAAATCCCTAATCTCTAAAAGGTCGGCAATGCACTCGTAACTCCTCCGTTGCGGGTGTCCATGGGCGGCGCTGATTGCTTACTTACTACTTACTACTTATTTAATTGTTTTTTTTAGTAATATTTAAAAAGTGAATTGTAGAGTTGTTAAAATAAATATATGTGAATAATAACTCATATTCTATAACGTAACTGACATATCTCATATGCTACGGCGTAACTCATGTCATGTCACTCATGTCATGTCACTCATAGCACATGAGTTACGACGTGCTATGGCGAAAATTACGATATAATTGCATGCTGCAGCGTAACTCATATGCTACAGCGTAACTCATGTGCAAGAGCATTACTCACGTGCTACAGCGTAACTATGCTACAGCTTAACTATGCTACACCGTAACTCATCTGCTACAGCGTAACTCACGTGGTACAGCGAAACTCATGTGCTACAGCGAAACTCATGTGCTACGGCCCAACTCGTATTTTTTATGGTGTAACAATGACAAAAATGTCACGTTAATGACCGTTTGCTGCGCTACTCCTATTATGAATACATGCTATGGCATTACTTATCATCTCCTAAAGTGTGACTATATAGTTTGCTACTGCACCTGCACAAACTAACTCTAAAACTGACTGAACTGAGTTACCGAACGAAAATTCGCCTGCGTTATTTTCTCGTCGACGTTTCTCAGGAAATAAACCATCTTACTCCTGCTAAGAGGTGGAAACGTCAAAGTACATGTTAGCATTCCCGCCGTGTTAATGCGAAACACTAATACTTCATACTTTGGAGTATCAAAAAATCTATGAAGTATATGCTGAAACAAAAAGTATGTTTGTGAATATTGTAAAATCGTTCCGGCTGGTTTAAGTAAGTATTTATAGATTCTCAATAATTGAAACTAACCTTGTCATCGCCAGTAATGAACTTATTCCATTTCTCAATCTTTTGTTTCAAAGTTTTCAACAAGTATTCGCATAAGAACTCTAATCGAGTATCAGCTTCCTCTTTCTGCCAAAAGAAAGTGATATTATAGAATAAAAAAAAACAACTGCTAATTGTGTTTACTTCAGACACTTTATTATTTTTAGTGAGCAGTTAGGACTGTCGAGTTTCTGATTGCGAGTTTCTCATTAGTCTAATTCCGCGTACTTGCACAGGCACGACGGTTCAATTAACGGAAGACGAAGCGACGTCGTCTATTCTTATAAGATTTGCGAAGCTTTGTTGTAGTTTGCAAACTAGCAATATTTTTAAAAAATAGGATATAGGTACCTACTACTAGTAAGTACTACTATCAAACAAATGTATTGCGAGTCCAGCGCAAAAACATAGCACGGTCCAGCTCGGAGCAGGTTTTTAAACCGTGTTTTTTTTTATTTTTACTCGGTCGGCCACGAATCAATTTTTTTTTCGATTTTCCCCCCACAAATAAACAACTCATGAAATACAGGATTCCGATAAAAACAGGTAGGTAATATAAAATACTTACGTCACCCATTTTGGGGGCTTTTTAGAGTTTCACTCACAGAACCTATCCTAATACGAATTAGATCATTTTTATAAAATAAAAATAATAAACTCAATAATTATTAGAATATTTACGCTATTTGATGAAATTGTTTCCTATAAACAAAATTGTCGTCAAGGTAACCCCACTCAAATTTGAACTTCGAGCCAAACATTATTCTCTGATTAGTTCATTAGTAAATAATCTGTAACAACTTATCAAGAAATTGAAGATACACACACAACTGTATTTTGTTATAGAAATTTATTTCATTAAATTCTTTGCATTTAGTGTTTTTCTTTTTTGAATCAGATACTTAACTATCGCATGCTTCTTAATTGAATTTGTGAACTAAGCTTAGTGCTTATATTCTCTTTGTTGTAAACGAAAGCGTAACGAAACGTCAAACCAACAAACTCCCTGTCTGTCAAAGTCTAAATTCTAACGTCAAAATTACGCGCCAAAATCCGGCTTGGAAGTTGAGAGTGCTCACTTATTGTGATCAAATACTTGCGTGCCAAACTTAACAACTGTAAAATACTGATAATTAGTGATAATGGAAGGATTTGATGATCCCGGTGTCTTTTTCTCCGATAATTTCGGTGTAGAGGAGAATGAATCTCAAGATCAACTTAACCTACAAGCAGTAAAAAAGAAGTTCAAAGAGTTCATACGACAATTCCACACTGGAAACTTTAATTACAAATACAGGTAAATGTCTTGTTTCCTAATCTTTTTCGTACTGCCATTTCTGTACCTATTGTTATTGAAATGCATGTATTTTCTTAACACTAATTTGATAAACTTGTTAACAGAGACGCCCTAAAACGCAACTACAACCTAAGTAATTACTGGGTGGAGATCAATATCGAAGATTTATCCAGTTTTGATGAGGTTTTAGCTGAGAAATTGTACAAAAAACCTACAGAACATCTACCCATATTGGAGGAAGCAGCAAAAGAGGTACAACTTAAACACAAACTTAATGAACCTACTCGATAATACATTAAACCTCGCCTGTAATCTCTTTTTTTTTATTTCAAAGCAGTTTTAAAATATCAGTTTAGATTATTTTCAATCGACTAATAATTACTTTATTTTGTTTATGTTTATCTTAATAATCCGTTAATAATTACTCACAGTATTGCACATTTGAATTATTTTTCCTTTCATAAGTCTACAGGAAGAAATTCAAATAGAAATTTTGTATTACCTACATAACACAACTATATAATTTATTAATTTATTATCCTCTGCATTTAACATGATGTGTGTAAGTATACTAATAAACAAGAGTCTTTTGCATTGTTGTGTTGCCTGTTTTTATCTATAAAATAAAAATATAAACCAATACATTATAAGATTACTGCAATTTGGTACCTTCAACTCAAAGTCAATCGGCCCCTAAGGCAACTCACTGACCAAGTCTTGCATAGTCCTAGTACTTGATGTCATAGTTTTACACAATTTATTCTCATTACAGTTGGCTGATGAACTAACAGCACCAAGACCTGAAGGGGAAGAGAAAGTTGAAGACATTCAAGTCCTGTTGTCTTCAGATGCTCATGCTGCTAATCTCAGAGAGTTAAAAGTATGTTCTTTATGTCATAATCCATGAAAAGTTATAATTACGAGAACATAATATAAAAATAAGTAATTTATATTACCTTAGTCATGTAGGATAACTTTGATTCAAACTTCCAAACCAATGAAAAATTTAATATACACTTTGTTCTGGGTTATTATTGGTTAAGGGGTTGTATCAAAGCTACCCCACAAGGTCTAAGCAACCTGAATTTACCTGGTATTGGATTTTTAATGAATACATAAATAAATAATGTAATCCTATTTTGTATTATTTTTCAGTCTGAAACAGTATCCCGTCTTGTCAAAATTCCTGGTATTGTAATATCTGCCTCTGGCATCAAGGCGAAGGCAACAAAGACTTCTATTCAGTGCAGATCATGCCGCAATATTATTCCAAACTTACCAGTGAAACCTGGATTAGAAGGATATGTTATGCCCAGAAAATGCAATACGTAAGTTTTACCAAAGTACACAGAAGCCTACTTCCTGATTTCTTATAAAACCTGTGACTGGGAGAGAAAATATGGCGTTAAGTCCGCCTTATGCATGTGTACTTGTGTGCATTAAAGTATAAAAAATAAGTTTACTTGGTATACATTTTCTCCATCAGATTTTGTTGTTTCTTTTGGTTTAAAATATATTGTTTCACAGGGAACAAGCAGGTCGACCCAAGTGCCCATTAGATCCTTACTTCATCATACCAGACAAGTGCAAGTGCATTGATTACCAGGTAAGAATGACATTTATTAATTTGGTTTGTTTTCCTGTCTGTCGTCTTTCAATTCCCTGCCAAAATTTAAAACCAATTCTAGTTACTCTTTCTTTTAATGGCTTGGTAGGTTGTAGTAACCCAAAAGACTTTTAAAGAGTTATACATACTTCCTAAGTTCATTTAGGCACCATTGATATATTATGTTAAAGAAAAACATTACAAGAAAACCGGGCAAAATATTATACAAGTTTCAAATTATATGTTTCAAATCGGCAATTCACCTTGAGCAAGTATGGTGAATAATGCCTAATCTACTCTTGCACAGCAGTGGGCAATTATAGACTATAAAAATCGGAATTTACTGTACTAAAAACACCAACAATAGCCTTTTTGATATTTATGAGTATACTTAGTCGGGTCATAAGTTCTGTCAAAACCTTATATTTTTAATTTTCGATTACTGGCCAGAAATTCTTCGACTTATTTTAAAAATAGAACTTTCGCGCTTGTAGAAAATAAAAAAGAAATTATTTTTTATTCATTTTTAAATATGGAGTGGTCGAATAAAGAAGACAGAATCGCGGTTATCGCGTTGCACCGCTGTGGTTACGCGCCAAAAGACATTTTCAATATTCTTCAAAATTTGAAAATAACGTTACGGTTTGTTTATCGTACTATCAAACGATACACCGAAGAGTCAAGCTTCGAAGATCGTAAGAGAAGCGGCCGACCTCGCACAGTTCGGACACATAAGGTCATCAAAGCAGTGAAGGCGCGAATCGAACGAAATCCCGTACGTAAACAAAAAATCCTAGCTCTGCAGATGGGGCTAAGCAGAACCACTGTTAAAAGAGTACTAAATGAAGACCTGGGACTACGAGCTTATCGTAAAAAGACAGGACATTTTTTGAACGAGCGTTTAAAAAAAATTAGGCTAGACAGATCCCGCGCTTTGCTACGACGGTACGCGGGAAAAAAATACCGCGAAATTCTTTTTTCGGATGAAAAAATTTTTACTATTGAAGAAAGTTTTAACAAACAAAATGATAAGGTGTATGCCCACAGCAGTGAAGAAGCAAGCGCGCGTATTGCGAGGGTCCAGCGTGGGCATTACCCTTCCTCATTCATGGTTTGGCTTGGAGTCTCATATTCAGGCGTAACTGAGGTGTTTTTCTGTGAAAAAGGTGTGAGAACTAGTGCCGAAGTTTATCAAAATACTGTCCTAACAAACATAGTGGAACCTCTTTCTCAGACAATGTTCAGGAACAGGCATTGGATATTCCAACAGGACTCTGCACCGGCTCATAAGGCACGAAGTACGCAAGACTGGTTGATCGCTCGTGGAATTGACTTCATCCGGCATGAAGACTGGCCCTCTTCTAGTCCAGATTTAAACCCACTGGACTACAAGATATGGCAATATTTGGAGGAAAAAGTCTGTGCTAAACCTCACCCGAATTTGGAGTCTCTCCGAGCATCTCTGGTTAAAGCAGCGGCAGACATAGATATGAATGTGGTGCGTGCAGCGATCGATGACTGGCCGCGTAGATTAAGGGCATGTGTTCAAAATGGGGGAGGGCATTTCGAATAATGTAAATAAAATTATATTGTACATTTAATGACCTTTCATTTCATATATAATTTTTAAATAATTGTCAAAAGGCGTATAAGTTATTACATCAAAAGTTTGTGACAGAACTTATGACCCGACTAAGTATAATTATGTAAATCTATTTTCAAATGTCTTTCTAGGTACTAAAACTGCAAGAAGCTCCAGAAAGTATCCCACAAGGAGAGATGCCGCGACATCTGACAGTATACTGTGAACGTGTTCTGTGCGAACGTGTCGCTCCTGGCGCCAGAGTTACAGTTCTCGGCATATATTCCATAAAAAAAATTGCTAAAATTGGGGTAAGTAAGCATTTTATGGATGTTGGTGTGTTTATACATTATTGAGACGCACGTTACAACTATCAATCTAAACTCTAATTGCTGTTTCTCTAGTTACATATTCTTCTTGCTGTTCTCCTAACAAAAGTTTATTTGCAGAGGGAAGGTCGGGAGAAAGGCTCAGTCGGTGTCCGTTCCTCCTACCTCCGTGCGGTTGGTCTGACTGCCGAGGAAGGAGTCACTGGAGGTCTAAGACCATTCACTGCTGAAGAAGAGGAGCAGTTCCGAAGACTGGCAGCATCACCTGATATCTATGATCGTATTGCGATGTCCATAGCCCCCAGTGTCTTTGGCGCTATCGACATGAAAAAAGCTATTGCCTGCCTTTTATTTGGTGGTATGTATAGTTTTCGTATTCGTTCGTATTTGCATGTATTTCCGATAGACTTTTTTATGAGTAAAATATTTATTTTCAATAGGTTCACGCAAAAGATTACCCGATGGTCTAACTCGCCGAGGAGACATTAACATATTGCTTCTGGGTGACCCTGGTACAGCTAAGTCACAACTACTAAAATTTGTGGAGAAAGTCGCTCCTATTGGTGTGTACACCTCCGGCAAAGGTTCCAGTGCAGCAGGTCTTACTGCATCTGTAATAAGAGACCCAGGCAGCGTGAGTACCTAACATAACATCATCATCCTTTCACATATGAATGTAGCATTACCCTATTATTTATTATAAACGTTACTATTCAGAAACTACTTAAGTGTTTCTAATAACCAGGTACTAGACCACACGCTTCATGTCCATCAAAGCGATTAAGTAATATAAAGTAGCTCTATTTCAAATTAAATATTTTCATTGACAGCGTAACTTTGTTATGGAAGGCGGTGCGATGGTACTCGCAGACGGAGGTGTTGTATGCATTGATGAATTCGACAAAATGCGTGAAGATGACCGAGTGGCTATCCACGAAGCCATGGAGCAACAAACCATATCCATTGCTAAGGTAAAATTCGTTAAAGATGCATATTATTGTAGTAAGTTATAAGAACTTTGTTGTAAGTTGGACATAGTGCTTTAATATTAATTCTATTCACTATTACAGGCTGGTATTACCACCACATTAAACTCCCGCTGTTCAGTACTAGCAGCCGCTAACTCTGTGTTTGGTCGATGGGATGACACCAAAGCTGATGACAACATTGATTTCATGCCAACTATTCTATCAAGATTCGACATGATATTTATTGTCAAAGATGAGCATGACCAAAACAGGGACATTGTAAGTTTTTACATATAATTTCACGTACTTTTACATAAAGAGACCAAGTGTTCCGTTCATTCTTCAAAAATCAAGCATTCTTCATTTTTATAGTCCAAACATAATAATATATCCTATCTACATATCCTATTCTTTCAGACTTTAGCTAAGCACATCATATCAGTTCACATGGGTGGTGACAGCGTAGAGCGTGAGACCGCGGCTGGTGAACTACCACTCGCGCTGTTGCGGCGGTACTCTGCCTACTGCCGAGCACGCTGTGGCCCGCGTCTCTCTGCCAGTGCCGCAGAAAGATTACGCGCCCGATATGTCCTCATGAGGACCGGAGCCTCACTGCACGAGAGACAAGTGGACAAACGCCTCTCCATACCTATTACAGTCAGGTAAATTCTTTCGTACCTACAATAATTTCGAAGTATAAACCTTCACTGCACATGCATAACTTCTCTTATATAATATTAATAATTTTGCTATGATTAACATTTGTTTTATATTTTTAGACAACTGGAAGCTGTTGTCCGTATATCTGAATCTCTTGCCAAGATGCAACTGCAGCCTTTCGCTACAGAAGTTCATGTCACAGAAGCACTACGATTGTTCCAAGTGTCTACATTGGATGCAGCTATGACTGGCAGTTTAGCTGGTGAGTTTTTCTACAAGATACAATTTTACACCTTTTATAAAATTAGCAGCAAAGTTTTCCACAAAGAAACATTATTGTGTACAAATAATATACATGTGTATAAATGACTAATCTTTCATTACTAGGTGCTGAAGGTTTCACCACAGAAGAAGACCATGAAATGTTATCGCGTATTGAAAAGCAACTGAAGCGCAGGTTCGCAGTAGGTTCTCAAGTCTCTGAACAAACCATCATTCAAGATTTCCTCAAACAAAAGTATCCCGAAAGAGCGATCCTCAAAGTTATACACACTATGATAAGACGTGGAGAGTTACAACATAGACTGCAAAGAAAGATGCTGTATAGGCTCTCGTGATTTTTTTCTCTTTTTGTTAAGTACTACTATTCGTATTTTTTTACTGCAAGGAAATAAAAGTTAATCATGTAATTTTAGATTTTTTTATTCACGATCATAAATAGATCACAATTTTTAATAATACCTTTGCTTGAAGCAAATAACATAAAATCATATTTTAATCAGTTCAAAACTGATCATTTACATATTGTCTATTAAAGCTAAAAGTGGATATCAGCACATTGCGTTAGTGTCCAAACTTTTAATTTACTGACACGCGAGCTTGTGTGTGCGAACTTTGAAAGCAATAACTGACTTGACTAGGAAGTGACATTTAGCGTCGTAAATATTGTATTACAATAGTTTCTGCTTTACGCTCTCGAACGGATATTCAGGATGAAATTCCACTCCTTTCCAAAACAAAAAGTTGAAAATCCTTCCATTTTCTCCCTTGTCTAAGCGAATCAAGGTGTCCATTTCATCCGCAGTCAATTCAAAATCATAAAAATCCATATTTTCCTGAAAAACCAAAATCAAAGTTAATAGGTAGGTAGTTATAAAAGTGATTAGTATAAATAAAATCCAAGCTAATATTAATAATGCGAAAGTAACTCTGTCTATATTTTCTTCACGCCTAAACTATTGAACCGATTTCTGTGAAATTTGGTACAGACATACATTTGAAATTCGAGAAAAGACATATGTTTTTATACCAAAAATCTGCAGAAGGTCACTAACGCGAACAGAGTCGCAGGCAAAAGCTAGTAATTAGTAATTTTACCTTCAATCTTTCCAAATTTGTACTCTTTGGAATGACAACAATGTTTTGTCTAACCAAGAAGTGTAGTAATATTTGTGCAGGTGTCTTCCCATATTTTTTGGCTAATGTGGTCACATCTGGTAGAGACAGCAAATCAGGGAAAGTACTGGGGCTAAAATAAGAAAAGTATTGATTCTTAGTCCTAAGCAATGATGTATAAAACTATAGATACGTTGTCCGCGCTCTAAAATGACAACATGAAATGAAGGCAATTGACAACATCGCGCTTAGTTACGCACCAACCTGCCGCGCGACGCTACGTTTGTTTTTAATTTATATCGTGTGTGTAAACCTGTGCGAAACATAAAGAAAGCATGTCGTCGTGTGTGTTCAGACGATGTACAAATTATACTCCAAAAGTTAAAGACAAAAATGTGTCATTTCATTCGTAAGTTCACCAAACAACCTATTTATATTTTATTTTTTTCGACGCCGGCGCCCGCCATCTTATGGCGGCCGGCGCATGAAGGTATAGTCACGTGCCGTCGGCATAACTGAAGATGTATATTTATCTCCCTCTAGCAAAGGCATTCCACTATACGATGTCATATTTTCTTTCCCTTTCTTTACTCGTAGAAGTAGTATCTAGTATTTTCGCCGTTTTTAAGCGCCGCGATGTTGGTTCATGACGTGTCTATATATAATACGTCATTGGTCCTAAGAGCTTTGGGTCATTAGGTACCTACATGAACAAATGTAAGTAGGTAAGCTAGTCACCTGTATTTATATTTGGTAACAAAATGGTTTTTAGCTCCAGGGCTTCCCAGAGGGGCATATGCAGTTAATATAATGTTATGCTTTTCACAAAATTTCCGTAACTCAATTTGCTGGAAGTAAGCGTGAAGTTCTACTTGTAACACCTGTGGTTTAAATGTTGCATGATTCACAATTTTCTCTATTTGTTCCTCATTAAAATTAGATAAACCAATGTTGCGAATGAGACCTGATTTTTGGCACTCCTCCAATTTCTGAAACAATATTTTAAACAATGAAATAACTCGATCAATATCTAATTACTGCTACTTTCTCTGATACCACAAATAATTTGTCTATATAGTAGAAGTGATAACAGTACTAAAACCTACCTTCCAGGTTGCTACATGGTCCGTATCCATATCCAACTCATAGTTTCCTTCTTCATTAACTTTCGGTGTCAGTGTTTCAGGATCACAATGAAAGCCAAAGGGTACATGTATGAGATACAAGTCCACATAGGTCATTTGTAAGCGTTTTAGTTGAAGATTTAGGAATTTCTCGACATCAGAAGCCCTATTGGCTATATGCGGAAGCTAAAAAAACACGTTTTATGTATTTGTATGATACCACAACACTGTGACAAATGCTACTACTTATAAGACGGTAAGCTTTTTATCTCAAAAATTACCTTAGTTGTAATGAACAACTCTGATCGTGTTCCTCTTCCATCATCAATCCATTTGGTGATGGCACTGCCAATCGCTTCTTCATTATTGTAATTAAATGCCGTGTCAATATGCCTATATCCTAATTCTAGAGCAGCATAAACAGTGGACTTGACAACGGAGGGTTCAGCCTGAAAGAAAAATGTTCATGATTAGTTATCTAATTAGCATTTATTAAACAAATTAATAATTACATTACCTGCCATGTTCCTAAGCCCAGTGTAGGCATTGCATCATTTGTTTGTGATAGCTTAACAAACTTCATTTTTCTAATTGTATTATGATATTGGCAGCTACAGCTGACTGTGGCTCTGAAAATCGAGCGTGTTCTTATCATACAACTGAAACTGAAACAAGACTTTGACAGTCGCAAAACTTGGCCGATTGCCATAAAATAGTAATTGAATGAAACTCAGAGTAACATGCGACGTCTGATATAAAAATACAGCTGGCACAGTTTACCATAAGCTGAAATACAACAGCTTTCCCTTTACACAAATTCAATAGTTCACCTACCTGAATCAAAATATGTCAATGATTTTTGTATAATATATTGATTTTTACAGACGTAGACAGCAAATATTTCAAATTTCCCGGCCAATAATAGTAAACGTAGTGGTTACATACTCTTTGAATAATAGTACTTCCGGTTTTTAGAGAGCTGTGCCATTGTTTATTATTTTTGATTATGGCCATATGAATAACTCTATAAAAATAATTAAATCTGTTCTTTACGCGATAATTCCGTTACATTACGCGCAAACCTTATAATCAATGCTTTCTAATCTACTATTTAAAAATAAGTCGGGTTTTCCTTTCTGAAGCTATAACTCCAGAACGCAAGAACTAATTTACACGGTTTTGCATCCAGTGGGAAGATTTTGGGCTCCGTAAGGTGTATAGCAAAGAAAATTCAGGAAAATTTTCAACATAGAAGCAGGAAATTCTTTTTTTCGAATACAGCGTCAACTTTTTGAAATACATCTGGTGGCGAAACGGTCTTCAACGGGTTTACTAGTATAATATTGATATTTTGTCTGGTCAACACCAAAACATTACGGCATGGAGACCACGTATGAGATAATTGTAAATCACACTACTTCTATTAATTAATCTATTCCGGCTATTCGAGAAAGCTTTCCATTTCAATTTATTTATTTGACTATTTCAAATGAATAAATAGCAATATTTCAATCCAGTTGCCAATGCGTTAAAGAACATCAACTTCATAGATTTTTTTAACTCTTGGCCAAATCTTACTAAAAGTAGTGTAATTGTATCCAGCCCTCATTGAGTATTATTGCCCACGGAATTTCTGTTCTGTGGTATTGCCATTCGCAAATCTCTGTCAACATGTTTGACAACTTTGACAGTTACAGTGACATTGAGGAGTTGTTGTTTGGATTTGTATTGTTCGAATTTAGAACACGCGCTAATCGCGCTATTGAAGATTTATTCGTGACCACGTATTTACTGTATTGATTCCCGCCAAAAACTTATAAGTAAAACAGTCTTAACTCAACCAAATAATATAATTGTTGCAAAAATGGGTGTAAGTAATTATAGCTAAATAGATAGAGTTACCGACACTGGATTTGTAACTGTAATTTGTGTTGCAGCGATATGTGATTATTCGGTTTGTTTTTTCAGAAAAAAACACAAGCCAATGTGAACAAGAATAAAGAAAAACGCCAGGCAAGAAAGCAGGAGCAACGTAGGATCGCAGATGGAATGTCAAGCGTAAATTCAGCCAATAAATTGAAGGATTTGGCTACACTGTGCAAAGAACTCCTTGTTTACCGGAATAATGAATTAGAAGTAGAAATGTACATCCAGCGGGTCACTGAACTGGACAAAAACGTGCTTCAGTGGGCAATTGACCTAACTGAGAGGAATATGAAACATTTGTAAGATATATTTTTGTGTATTGTTTATTAAGTACTTTTTAGCATAACAAGATCTTTGTCGCCCCGAAGGGTACCCATAGAACGTATGTTGTGATGATCTCTTATTAGACACCTATGTTTTTAATTCACTAAACAGTTATTATAAATGTTGATAATTTATGTCCAGAAACTTAATGGTCAGCCTATGCCTGGAGCACAAAAAGTAATAGGGCAGTTTTTAGTCAGTAAGGGTCTGAAGTTCCTTTTTGCCTTACCCATGGTGGAAGAAATCATTTAACAAATATACCCCTTCAAGAGAAAAAAGCCTTTGTTGAACAGTTGATATCTTCCAGATGACAATGATTGTACTGTTTCAATATTTAGTAATAAGTATTTATCTATTTTAAAATTCTTAATAATACCCCATGGTTTATGTAGCGGCACTATCACGTCGCTACATTACTTAGATACGATAGAGATAAGACATACATGTTAATTGTTGCACGTTTGTTAGGATAGCAAAATCTGAAAATCTCACGCATCTTCTTAGTATATAAGCACCAGCAATTAAAGTAATAAACAGACCTTAACCATCTACAGTCTCATTATTTACCTTGCCACGAAGTCTGGCAAATTGGTGACCCGACGAAGAACAATCAACATGACTCATTCACCCTGCAAATCAAGCAGCAACCAACAAGAAGCCTTGGAGATATCAGCCGGAATTTTGGAGGGACCAACCCAGATTATGGTTTAAGCAACTAGAAGCCATAGTAGCACCACAGAAGCAAGGAGACGATTACAAGTACTATACGGTCATTGCAAAACTGCCAAAAGAAGAAATAATACAGGTTAGTGACCTCATTACTTGCCCACCGCCAATAGAAAAGTACAAGGCTATCAAAGAACGCCTAATCAGTTGCTATGAGGAATCAGACCAACGTCAGCTCCAAAAATTATTGTCTGAAATGGATCTCGGCGACCAGAAACCATCACATCTTCTGCGCAAGATGCGGACCCTGAGTAACGGAAATATCAGCGACGAAACCATCAAACTTCTATGGTTGAGGCTTCTGCCACCATCAGTGACTTCGGTTCTAGCAGTCACAGAAGACATAGATGTGAACAAGATGAGCCAGATCGCGGACAAGATATTAATAAATTCAACACGTACAGAGGTGTCAGCTGTAAACGGAAACAAATCTGGCGACGATACAATGTCATGCATACTAGCACAGTTAGCAGAAATGCAATTGGAACTAACTAATGCAATTCAGCAAGGTCAAAAAAAACTATCGACGCAGCACTCAAAGTTATTCCAATCGTCGGCATTTCCTACCACAGTCAAGTTCAAGAGAAAGAAGGCACTTTTGTTTTTACCATGGAAGATTTAAAAAATATGCACAAAAGTGTGTTCAACCTTGTGATTGGAAACAGGATCTCAACTCAAGGAAACAGGGAAACTAATTGAAGCACGGACAACGGCGGAACTCTGTGCTATTCACCCGTCCAACCGCCTCACTATTACCGACCGAAAAAGTGGTATGAGATTTTTGATTGACACGGGAGCAAATATTTCAGTTATTAGCAAGCCACAGAGACATTCACTAATACAAGATGAACAATGTATACTTTATGCCGCCAATGGTACAAAAATTAAGACATATGGTGAAAAAACACTCTCTTTAAACTTCGGGCTACGAAGAAACTTTGTATGGAACTTTGTCATCGCCGATGTAACACAACCGATTATTGGAGCAGATTTTTTAGAGCATTATAAGCTATTAGTCGATATAGCTGGTCGAAAACTCATAGATAGGGTAACTGAGCTGACAACGCCCGCAACCCTGATCAAATCGACGCAGCAAACAATCCGCACTATTAACATTGAGACGAATCCACGCATTACTCAACTATTAAATGAATACGAGGATATTACGAAACCAGCCTCCCTCCACACTACTCCAAAACACAAGATTAAGCATCACATTATCACTAAAGGACCACCGGTATCAGCACGTGCAAGACCGATTAAAACCTGCATTTGTCTTCAATAGTGGAAAGAACGTGCCAAATTCAGAAAATAATCACAACGGGCGGAACACGTACATCACGAAGTCAGGACGGGCGGTTAAGCCGACAGTACGATTCGTCACTTGCTGACACAAGTAATCAGTCCATTTAAATGGATAGTTCATCGACTGCCGCCGCCGTCACAACAAAGGCAGCAGTTTTTATTTCCTTCGAATTAGCAACAATGACATTACATTACGCATAGGATGTAATTTATCAGCAAGGTTAAGTTATTATATAATTAGGTACATACTAATTTTTTTTCAATTTATATGTTAATTATTTTTAAAAGGGGGGAGTATATGTAGCGGCACTATCACGTCGCTACATTACTTAGATACGATAGAGATAAGACATACATGTTAATTGTTGCACGTTTGTTAGGATAGCTAAATCTGAAAATCTCACGCATCTTCTTAGTATATAAGCACCAGCAATTAAAGTAATAAACAGACCTTAACCATCTACAGTCTCATTATTTACCTTGCCACGAAGTCTGGCAAAGTTTACAATACTCACAGTCATTTATTTAGCAATATCAATTTTAATTATCCATTTCCCACTTCAGATATGAGACCTGCGCCTGGGGTTGGAATCGAGACCGGAAAGTGGAGGAGATGACAGATGAAGGTGCATGGTATCTCATTGCAAGAGAAAAGAATGGAACACTCCTTGCATTCTCACATTTCAGATTTGACATGGACTTTGGGGACCCAGTTCTTTATTGGTAAGTTTGTTTTCATTTACACATTTTCTTGCTGTCCTACATAATATATGTTTTACAAAACAAAATTCATCCTATCTTTATGTACAGCATACAGTATCTATACAAAGTTTCAATAAGATTTTATTGAACATGGTTTTGTTCTCTTATCTATTGGTGTTGCAGAACATGAAAGTAGAATTATATGCTAGAAATAAAATTGCTGTTGTCACTAGTAATGCATAGACCAGATATGTGAGTATGATGGATGCTAAAGGGATATGCATATTGTATAAAGTACATAGTACCTAATTGGTGTACCTTCAATGGGCCAAGGATAAGATTGTGTGAATGAACATCATATTATAAATAAAAAGTCATCATAATAATCTGTTCTAAAATATTTAGAAACTATATTTATTTCTTTAGTCTTTGTATTCTAGTCATCTGGTTTCATTATTGTTTAATTGTTTTAATCTGTGTACAAATTTATCGGAGAAATTAAAAAATAAACTACATTAATACTAAGCTCCTCTAGAGGAACTTTTTAAATTAAATGCACAATCTCTATACATATGTATACTGCATAGATAACATTACAATTTAAAAATTATATAACCATAATATTATGCTATTTTAACAATAGAACATGTAAACATTTCAATAAGTGCTATTTAAAATTAGAATAAAATTATTATTTTCTGAGATACACAATAATTCAATCAACAGACTACAGAAATATATTTTTAAATATCTTACATCTTATAAAATAATATGTACAACCTATACATTATATAATACAGTGAGAGTGAATATTCTCTATGGCAATAGCACTCATCAATTGGGTTTCACTTTGTACTTCCACAAAATACATAGGAAGAAACTAATGTTCTTTCGCAACAATCTCTTTTCAAAGACTAGTTTTTCTTTTGGCCACCAGCGAATGCACCTTGTACATAGGTACCTAAATAGCTTATGTAGTATATATACGGTGAGAAGTGCTATGGTAGTACTTAGTGCTATTACATCTAGTAGCATGTACTGTGGGTAAGTGAGGTCGAGTGCAGGCGACCTCATGTGTGAAGCTCCTCTATGTCTCAGTACATATTCTATCCAATAAACGCCCATATCCAAAGGTTTCATCGGCCGATCTAAGAATATGTTCTTCAACTCCGTGGCTCTGTCTTTATATCTGAAAAATAATGATTGAATCGTAAATTATTAACGAGAATAGAAAATAGTGTGATTATTTGCAGCTAGTCTATATAGATGGCGCTAGTGGTTGCTAGTTCAAATAGAATTAGGCGGGTGCTTCAAGGTAGCCCATTTAAACATTTTACGTCCTTTTTTATGAGATAGGTCTGCAAACGAGCAGACTGATTGCCTGATGGTAAGGAGTCGGCACCACCCATAGACACCCACAACACCATAGGAGTTACGAGTACGTTGACAGACTTGAGGATAAGAGTTTTCGCAATTAACAGTTTTATCAATCTTTTAAAAAGGTCAGAAACACACCAGGCTTCAGAGACACTCCGCACAACAGTCTTCGGCTACCAAAAGCGCGGGCCGCGAGATACCCTTGCTCGCAGTCCGTCTCTCACGAACGTGCGCGTTTATACCAAATATATGAGATAGTGGGTTTTTGCAAGATGGTAAACATTGCAATTAACTTTCACACATGGTTGTAAATATGATATAATGAAAGTAGTCTCGGCCATTATCTCCGTATCATATTATGTCACTGAGGTTATCTAGGCAGACTGCATTGTCTCGAAACCTCACGGATCTATCATTCATACCAAACTGTATTCAACACCGTATAAGTTTAATCGATTACATAAGGAAATTTCGGTTAGTAGGTACTTCAGAGGACGATAACAATAACTGGCAAATGTTTGAAACCTAAGCGTAGATTTGAAAAAAATTGCAACTGCATAACCATAGGCAGGGTTCTAACTTTCAGTCGGGGTTGCGGGGCTAGCGCAACTAGGTATCGCGGTCTAGGCCTAAAGCTAGAGAAGTAACGGCGGTGTTCTTAGTCAGTAAGAGTCTAGACACTACGTTTCCCTTTACCCTAGGCAAGAGAAGTCATTTTCACTTTCCCTTCAAATCAAAACAATTGCACCAAATCTTCGATAGCTGAGTAAAACATACCGTGGATCTGTTAACAACTCCCGTAGTTTTCGCCTCCATGTGTCTTTGTCAGTATTTTTAAGATTTACGATTTCTGCAACGCCCCTGTCAGCCATCGCACGTGCATTGAGCGCCTGATCTGCGTACAGCGGCACCATCAACATTGGGACCCCACAGGCCACAGCTTCTTGTGTGCCTAGTAGACCACCATGCGAGATAAACAGCTTCACGTTCGGATGACCTGTTTACATAACATACCATTCGTTACATGCAATCGATAAGATTGTAATCATGTAATCAAAGATTCAGAATTAGCGTCCGATTAATGACCGTATAAGTGGCTAGAAAAGTCATGTGCCATAAAACAAAAGAATATAATAAATTGCAATAACAAATTTCATATAAATTATGTAGTATAAAAACATTTGTCTATACAGAAATGTATTGTAAAGTATACACAATGATGAGTGATTCAAAGTTCGCTTCATTGATCGCTTAATTTCGAACTTATCATGCAGAATAGCGATTAATAGATAACACGACTATCACTAGGAGTAGGTAGCTACAGGGGTCGGGTTTGGGCGATAACGTTATAATTACAACTCACATAAGGTAGCGTGCTGTGGTATCCAGTCCATGGTATATGCGTTGTCAGGCACTGTGAGGTTCTGGGCCAACATACGCCTATCCATCTTTATGAACACCGTCTGAGGCAGCTCCGACAAAACGTCAAATATCCGAGATAATGTATCACTTGGTATCGTTTCTATTCTCGACATTGATCCGAAACTCCAGTAGATCACGCCTTCCGTTGATGCGTCCAGAAGTTTTTGCATGTGCTGCAAAATAATACACATATTGTAATTATTTAGCGATGACTTTATCATCGTCGTAGTTGCAAGCCTAAAATTGTTCGCTGCTCCGCTCCGGAGCAGTTGAAGGAACGGGTTGATTTTTGGACAGTAAGAGTCTGACACTACCTCACGCCATACCAAGCCATATCATTATATCACACCTCAAAAAATTCTTTGACAATCACTTTAAACGTAGTCAACTTGTATTGGACAATTATAATTAAGTATATTCTTGTTTACTTCACGATTTTCCATGAAATTTGGCAACAACAACATTATGAGCACACGGCTAAATTAATCATATTTCATTATTATTGACACTATCTGTTGGCAGGAGGGTCTTAGGTCCTGGGTCGGAGAGATAGGCGGTTCCCTATTGCATCTGGAAATGTAGGTTAAAATAGTATTCTAGTATCGACGGGACTATACACATGAGTATTGAAGTATTAAGAGCATTGTTAAAATAAATAGTAGAATAGTATTTTAGTTAGTAACTTCTAAGACTACCTTTCTTTAAGTGATGTAACGAAAATTTCGCGCACGGAAATTGAAATTAATTACTCGTCAAGATGGCACTACTCAATCGATAGCTTTATCTAAAATTTTACTGTTTATGTGTTTGTCCTGTCCTTAATTGCTTCTGACATCATTTTATTTTTTTCTCTGATGATTTTAATTGCATCAATAACGAGTATTTATGATTGTATTTTATTATTTATGAATTATGCTTTTAATTGGTGTTTATGGGTAAGTCACTACGATGTAAGGTGGTACTGTTCAATGAGATAACGGTTTACGTAACCAAATATATGAGTCGGAGATTTAAAGTTACATTTTCTATGTAAGGTACAAATGTACACAAAAAAATTATTATAAAGAGAAATTCGGTTTTTAGACCGATTTAAAAATATAAGTACCGTTATTATAAAGCCACAGTCACTGTTTTTCATTTTTACTCAGTTAAATAGGCAAAAACAAAGAAAAAGCTAGTCACCGGGCCACTAGTCTATACTTCTATATGTACTTACTTAGATTATAGAGGTAAAATTTGTAAGTTTGTGTGTAGGGGGTAATCTTTGGAACCGCTGGTTGGATTGCCAAAATTCTTTCACTGATAGATAGCTACAACGTCCCTGAGTGCTATAGGCTATAAAACATCACGCTATGATCAAATGGAGCTGAGCAGCGGGTGAAACCGCGCGAAAGTAGCTAGTCAATTATATTACAACATTTGACACGTCAAATCGGGTTTACTTAACTTCTACTCAAAAAGGTTATTAGCGCTACCAATGTGCCAAAATATCGTCTCATCAATTAATTGTATACAGAATATCTGTGTAAGAACATTGCAACTGTGAAAAAAGCAGACAAAAGGTACATTTACTTAAAAACAGATGAAAACTATTCCAAAAGAAGGACTTATGTTATTAGAAATTACCAGACTTTGGAGGGCTGCGGTTGCGATAACTGTTGTCTATGAACCTTACAATCATTGAAACCAACAATAACGATTGAGATAATTTCTGCGGACACGCAGTCTGTGTGACCCAGTGACTTGGGAATGATATGTGCGCCTACCGCATGCCGCTGGCCGATATGACCTATGATTAAAGTGCATTAGAGGCGATATAATGTGCTAATCAATTACCAATATCAATACAAACTGACTTATACTCTCATTACTATCGCCAATTAAGGTACTTACGCGTGAAAGAACCGGGGAATCATTCAAGTGTAAACCTCCAACCTCTACTAACGTAGGTACTAGGGGCCGTACTTCATTGATGCTGAAATGGCTGTTCGACAAAACTAAACTATAGTTTTGTGCCAATGTTTCCAATTTCGGTCCTGGGCCAAAAAGTCTGTCCGATATAGCCTGGAAAACCGAACACATTAGTCTAAATTATAAACTTTTTTTGGTTCGTTTCCTAATAAAGAAAATGAAACTAACCTGTGACGGAATTTGCGATTTGTATCTATACAAAATTTTTGCTATTATCACCGCCATTGTGTTAGCAAATCTTTCCCATAGCGACATACGTTGACCATATCCGACCATATAAGATGGTACATAGGCAGTCGCTTCGGGGTTTCCAAGCTGCTCATTCAACCATGGTAGTGGAACACTTGAGAGGAACCCGACCACAGGAGCTCCATATTTCTTGCCGAGAGGTAGGAAGCAATCGCTTCCAAACACTTCAACTATAACCAGATCGAACGTCTCTGTCGAATTGAATAATGCCCTGACCTCTGGCACTTTGGCAGCAGTCTCACATGCGTCCACGCATTCTTTCATTATCTGTTCCAAGTTTCTCATAAAATCGGGCTTTAATGAGTCGTTTTGCTTTGTAAGATTGTTAGTGATTTCTGGTATTGTCCCCGCGAGGCTTATTTGACGCACATTTGATCGCGGATTTTTCTGAAAAAATACAAAAAATCTATCATACATTTGTTTTCTTGTTCAAAGGAGGTTGTTATACTTATGACCTGTTTGACCTTAGAAAAGTGCATCTTAGATATCGATGCCTTTAGGTATGTCTGTTATATCGTGTACCTATCTATTGCAATCCTGCCATGCGTATAAAGGACAAGATAAGGAATTACTTTGCCCTTAGACAAAACGACGCTATCTTACAGTTACTCCATCTTCGATTGATAGCAATAAATTATCGTAGTCTGTTTACATGGCATCCAACGTCTTTCAGACATACGGATCACCCGGTAGACTATACATTGATATAATCCGAAAGATAATTACGACAGACGGATATGATAGAAAAATTATGTTTTTGTTGTTAACGTATTTTTAGACAACTTCATTCAAGAATATTAATTTATCGATTGTGTTTAAAAGATAACCTGAAATTATCGGTGTCCAAAAAAACTACCAATATAATAATATTATGTATATAAATATAATATTATGCTGCTATAACTACAGGACAAGTTTTTTTTCTTTCAGTCTCTCATTTGTTAAGAAAATTAGTTCAAATTTTGAAAATTGTTCTGCTAAAGCTCGACATTGTTCATTAGGGGACTTATTACGGCATCACTGTATTTCTGCACATTCTGCGGTAGTAGCCTGTGTCGAAATCAATTAAGGATTGTATTGCAACGCAGTTATTGAGTTGGCCAACTGACGCTAATATCTGTAATCTATCCCAAATATTGAACAAAGCTCTAAGATATGTATCTAATTTTGTACTTCTGAAAAATACAAACAAATTAGTTTAGCAATTAGTTTTTTTTAATTATTTGCAGTCCTTTGACTCTAGCCTTTTTAAATTTGATTGTGTTTAATGTTATGTAAACATATTTTTATCTATCTGTCCTTTAACCAACCTGTATTGAATTGGAGTTCGAACACTTGTGACCGCTTAGAGTTCATCACTATTATTTTGAATGCACTCGTATCTGCTTGACCGTGGATTTACTCTTCACGCATTGTCAAATATTATCGGGATCGCGTATCACCGTTTGCACGTTGACCCGTTTGATCATAACTAGTCACTGTCCACCATTAAGTATAAAATATTATCAGTTTATTCACTTTGGTGTTACGGTCGTCACAAATTGATGTCATAAGGTAATCAGTTGGATTGCCGACATATGTATACGTCCCTATAACCTCGTCGTTAAAACCTATGTCTAGCCTACCAGATAGAGAGAGCTAGAGAAGAAACGGGAAAGCGAGTTTGATTTTAAGCTTCGGAGTCTCATTTCCGTGCGTGGCAGAGGGCGGTACGACCGCCCTTCTGGTAGCCTTTATCAGTTTGTTTTTTAGTCTTTCTTAGACTATGTCGCACCCTAGATGGGGCGGGAGAGATTTTCAGGCTTACTGACGACCCCGTTCTTTCTCCTGCGGCTGTCGCGGACAATTGTTAAACTTGCACTCGCAACCCTAGCAGAGCATTGGCTTTCTTGTGCCCTTGGGTAGACGAAGCTTCGAACTATGGAATTCTGACACATTCTGTATGGAGCTAGTGGCCATATTTATTTTAGTTACATCTAGTTACTATCTCTGACTGACTATCGTCTATTAATTGAGTAATGCGTTTATGTTGGCCGGCCAAGGAACATTTAAAAGGCATTTTCTTAAAACAAATGATTTCGCCAACAATGTCTACACGTTGTGGCTGTGACGAAAATAAATGACTTTTTCTTAATATACTTTAAAATTTAACTTGAATAGACACGTTTTTTAAATATAATTGCCATGCAGATGCTAAGTGATTTCGGGTCAGTCTCGGTAACTTTATTTTTCAGTACTAGATAGAAGATATAAATATTGTAACGTGTACCTAGCAGCGTTTGCACATTGAATCACTGCAATTATTTATGAGTTGTTTATCGCCCATTGTAATGAATACTAGGGTAGCTAGTACCTAAAGAGTTCCCAGAAATCTATACTCATCAACTAACGCGGTCGTACTACAGCAATGGCCGAGAACAAGAGAAGGAATTAATGGTAGTTGTTTCGTTGGTGGTTTTTAGTCAGTAAGAGTCTGACACTCTTGCATATTTCATTCGGTGATTTGAATTCCTCAAACAAAAAACAATACTGCATTTTGAATAGCAATATTATCTAACTTATTATTCACGGGAAGTGATACATAAGAATTTAAGATTCCCTTATTCAAGAGCGAACTAAGCGGCTCACTTCTATAAACCAATTACAATTTTTAGGTTCTTCAAGTAGCAAAAATAATACAAATCTCAGTATCACCGGAAAGCTCTTAACGGAACTTCTGTCATAACTAGTACATTATAAACACAAGACCGGCAACCCAGGATGACTGTCATAGGTTTAGTGATGTAAGAATATAGTGACAGTAATATATTTTAAAGTGTTATTAGGTTTTCAATTAATTTATCTCACTGCTCAATGCACTTTCGTTTAGCTCAGAATTTTAAGGAATAAATATAAAAATTATAGCTTACTACGACTATTATTATACTGAAATCGCGTATAATAAAGCTCTTTGAAATACAAATATAAAAAAACTGATTTATGGATAATATAAACTTACCATGGGGAAGTGCGAAACGATGGTAAGGTGATGATCCTTTTTAGCCAGTGCTTCAAGCAGCCGGCCGTACATTGCGTAGTGGCTCTTGGTGTTAGTCGGCAATACGGCGAGTAGACGAGCTGCTTCCACCGACACCGCCCACGCGAGGACCAGCCATAGGAGCCGCGGCCTCATCTCTGTGCTGCCCGTCTCGGTTTGCGAAGCCGTCTAGCCTGAAACCGCCGAACTCCCTACTGCTGATAAACGCATACGTCACCGCCGATAACAGTAGTCTCCGGCTTCTCCTATCCAACACCCGCGCTCCCCGTCTCAGCCCTCCCGCTAAGGAACTTTCTACAACAACTTTTCCAATATTCCTCATTTCTGCCTCGATTTCCGGCGAAATAGTCATCGTCAACTTCGGTCATTAGAATATGTTGCGGATTTATTTTCTTCGGTATTTCTAGTATGGTTATGCTCTATTTTCAGTGCATTTACTATTTAGCAATAGTGCGTGAGTGACGTGTACATCGTTTCAACAGTGAACTTAAATATATTAGGTGCAACTTTTGAAATTACTAAGCGTTTAACCTATTTCCCCAACGTCCGTGACAAACGGTTTGTCTTTTTTTAAGGGAAAGAAGTGCTTATCAGTTTTTAAAAAATAAACCAGTGATTCTAATTCAAAGCTTCAAAGAAATATATGTATTTTTCCGTGCGAAGAAAAAATATATTATTTTTATCCAAAACTACGTAATTAATTACCAGTTAAATAGAAAATTGACACAGGCTGCCATATTTAGATGGAACCGACCACCGCATTCGCGGCCAGCACCTTTACTAAAATCAAATTTCGCCAGGTGCTTCTATCGTACGTATACATTAATGTGTGCAAGTGCAATAGACTCTTCATTGTTAACTAACTTCATTCATAACGAACGGAGCCAATAACCTAATGAGAAACCTAATTTATTGGAACATCACGATCATATGAAGACAGGAACGTAATCCCAGATACAAAAAAATGGATCTATGACACAATCTTCATGATTGCGAGGCAATATAAGGCAATTACTTTTTTTTTCTTCAACTCAATGTTTGTGCTTTTGTGAAATCCCAGTTTTCGTGCTCGGTAGTGTGTAGTGCAGTGTTTTCACGGACAGCATAATGCTGAAGAGCTAACTTGTACCGACCGAGCGTAAATAATAATAGTTAATAAAACGCATGTTACGTTTCATCCTTAAGATGTTTAACCCTGCGTACACCTTTTATATTTAAAGTTAGAAGTAAACATCGGATTGACTCCCCTAATATGCAGACCACGCATATAATAAATCTCCAATCATCGAAAATGTTTGTATTATAAAACATGCGCATCAGCTAAATAGAATCGACTTTCAATAGATTTTTTATTTTGATCGTAACTTAAACTTTTTGTGCTCATGTTTCACCATTATGTGAAAAGGAAAACTGCTCTTAAATCATCATGGAAATATGTATGCGTAGGCTCAAAACCTTTAAAACGATATAACCATAATTTAGTCTCAGTTAGGGACTAAACTATGATTTTCTTTAAACAAATAATTCCGTATACTCCTTAGTTACCGATTTTTGTTTTTGCTCTATGCCTGCTGCTTCGCTCTTTTTGAATTCTCGGTAAGTTCTTATTAATAGGTCCCTATCCTGTAGGAATACCGGGATAACAAACACACTTTATTTATTTCAATTTTGTACTTGTAACTTACTTAGATATAAGTATGGATAAATCTTCCCTCTTTATATTAGGTATTAATATAATTAAATTGTTACTATTCTTGTAAATAAAACTGATACTGTCAATAACATTTGAAAGGCTCTGAAACCGCTTTTAACCAGCTAGTCGAGAAATTAGTATGAAAAAAAAAATTGTGCAACAAAATCAATGAGAGGTGAGATATGTTTCTGAACTGTTCTTAATTAACATTGTTATCTTGCCTATGTAATCTGTGCAATGCGTAAGAACAAAACGTAGCTACAGTGTAGTGCCATCGGGGAGGTCACAAATCGGAGTAATTATTGATGCGATTCTTATTAAGAAATAATTAATGCGATCACTCATTAATTGTGTGATTTATAATAGGTATCGTACGTTACGGACCTATGCAGTCTTAATTAAATGAAATGATTTATCAAATTAGACAATTGAATGTGAAAACACTCGATTCCGAAACAACAGAACATCATCGTGACAAGAACCTAGTAGGAATAATAGGGAAAATGGTGCATAGTGCATACTTCATCATACTTAATTAATATACATAATCACATATTCACTTCCCATCATCAGCCTATATGTGCCCACTGCAGAGCAAAGGCTTCTTCTCAGACGGACAAGGCTTGAGTATTAATTACCACGCTTGTTCAAGGTGGATTGGCTATTTCAAACTTATAATTAGGAAATATTCGTCCAGGTTTCCTCGCGATGTTTTCCATCACCGTATGTTAGTGGTGTCTAAATAATCCCATTGGTACTTGGCACGTTTCGTTCTATCGTGCATTTGAAGCGGGCACTTTAACCTCCGGGTCACCACGGCATTGTAAAACAATCAATATAAACCCTAAGGAAATCTAGTAATGAACTTTGATGCAAACATCATTACTATTCTACTACACGATACTGATAACAATTTGTCGATGCTGCAATAATTGGAGATAATACCGCACCTAAACATTGTTGCCGATCTTCACGCGAACTTTCGTGTAATGACTTCATAAGATCATCGCGCCTACGTGCATTGGTACGGAATGTACTGCGCATTCCCGCCCAGATAAGTTTTTGCGGTTATCGGCGGGTAATTACCTAATTAAATTTATTTGTACCCAAGATTTTGGAATGTGATCGATTTATAGACTAACTACTTCGACGGGATTGGGAATACCTATGTATTATTATGTAGAAAACAAAAATAATGGCTCTATGCGGTACTCGAATCCGCGACACGTTGCAAAGCTGCTAGTCGCCTGGTCACTTTTTTATGGGGAAAATCATCAAATGACTTCTGTTGCCCTATGCGGGACATATCTACTCTTACTGATTAAAAGCCACTCCGTGCCTTCTGCCGGTTTAGGCCGAGTCGCAACCCCTGCTGAACATCAGCCTTTTTGGGCCCCATCTGTGATCGTCTGTTGGCTCGTATACTTTTGCTTATAATATTAATTAATAATTACTATTAATTACGGTTAATAGTCTATATTCAATCCCTTCATGCATCTCAATTATCTGTACAATAGGTAGAATGAGTGACCTTTAAGTCTTAAGTCTCGAGCGACGTGAAGATTAGAAATAATACTTACAACATTGTTTCTATCTCATCTCCACGTGGCTAAAGGCAGACGTTCCATGTAACATAGGTACTAAAAATAATCCCGTCTTTGCCTAATTATCGTAACTTTATTTTTCATTATTTCTGATTAAAACCTCCACCCAAAGAGTGTCCCATTATATGTATTACGTGTACCTCTTTCGTATCAAATTGGTCAGCCTCGAACATAAGCGCAAAGTTGCGAGCTGTTCGGTTTTTTAACGAATACATTTCTGAGCTGCATCCTCCTAATCCTTTCCACGATCGTACCAGCAGACAATCGGCAAAACGTCATCGTTTCATGGTGGATTGCCCAACCTTCCCTCCCATTCGCCTCCAGTTTTATCAGATCAGTAAGTACCGCTAAGAAGTGAAATTCATCGCCGGAGCCTGTTTCCCCAAGGGAACTTCCAAATAAAAAAAAAAAATCGATGAAAATTAAAATATTTTGGTAATCAGGAAAGATGAGCTAAATTAGAGAAAGGCTAGTTCGACTCCTTTCGACTTACGGTCACCAGGACCATTTTAACGACAAACCATAAAAGGATGTCTTTATATCAGTTCATTAGTGTAAATGTGTAGGTATTTAATTGAATACAGTGTAACACAGTCATTTAATTGTTTCAGTTACGAGGTGCAGGTAGAAGCAGATGGTCGACGACGCGGTCTTGGGCAGCGCGTGCTCAGTGTCCTTGAGAAGCTCGCTGACGCCACGCGCATGCGCTGTGTACGCCTTACTGCGCTCACGCACAATCCCTCTGCATCTGCGTTTTTCAGAGCTTGCGGGTAAGGAATCTATTTTTCCTTTTTTGTCAGCACATGATCAGACGGATTACCTGGTGGTAAGCAATCAGCGCCCATGGATACTCGTAATACCGAACGAGTGATTACAAGTGCGTTGCTGGCCTATTGTGGGTTATAAGGGATTAGGCTACAGGTATCAATCCGGTCGATCCGACCCAATCGTGCCGAAACATGACTCTCCCACACCTATTTAAATTGTATCACTTTACCTTAAAAATCAAGCGGCGAACCTCCTTGCCGGATCACCGCCATGGGATCTAGAAGCGAAGGCGCTTGCGCGCGTCTACAGTTTGCGCGCAGACGCGCGTCGCCGGGGCGAAGATCCTCTGCCGTGCCAAATTAGTGCGTGGCGGAATGAGCTCCGGCGAGATCTCATGGCAGAGTGGAAACAACGACTGTCGCAACCGAGGGCCGGGCACGCTACCATAGCAGCGGTAAGACCCCTCTTTGAGGAGTGGCTTGAGAGAGCCACGGCGTCCTCACCTTCCGTCTGACGCAGGTGCTTACCGGGCACGGCAGCTTCGGTAGGTTCCTGTTTCGGATCCAGCGGGAGGAAACGCCCAAGTGTCGTCATTGTGAGGACCACCTAGAGGATACGGTGGAGCATACGGTAGCGGTATGCCCTGCCTGGGCTGAGCACCGCCGTATCCTCAGGGAAGTGATCGGCGGCGGCGACCTCTCGCGCCCGGCCTTAGTCGAGGCCATGGTGCGGTGTGAAAGGAACTGGGACGCCGTCTCCTCCTTTTGTGAAGCAGTCATGCTCGCAAAGAGAGAGGCGGCCCGCGTGAGGGAGCAATCCTCCTCCTCACGCCCCAGCAGCCGCAACTGGCGACACTACGGGCGTCGGGGATCAAGGGACGATCTCCGGCCACCGTAAGCACGGGCCTGCGGTCGGCGAGTAAGGGCAGCTCGCCGCCCGACCAGAACCAGGCCCGAGCGTACGGCGCGTAGCGTTCCGCGCGCGCCTCAAAGAGCCATTAGACCACCACAGACGGGGCCCTAAAGGGCTGATGTTCAGCCGGGGTTGCGGGGTAAACGCAATGAGGCACCGCGACCTCGGCACAGAGCAGGAGAAGGAACAGGGGGGTTTTTAGTCAGTAAGAGTCTGACACTCCCTCCTGCCCGGCCCTGGGCGGGAGAAGTCATTTGATGATTTTCCCCTCACAAAAAAAAAAACCTTAAAAATCAAAACCCATCCTTTTACCTCTTAGATCTAAAGATCACAATTATGAGCTTAATTTAATTTTGTTTCTTATCTATATAAAGAATATTAACTAAGTTTCGGGAGATAGTATACTGCTTAAACAGCTATAGAAGTTCTATACGACCTTACCACTCATCATAAATTTTTGTTGTACCATAAAATAAGCAAATCTGCAGAAACAAAAAACATCCCGTTCCTCCTGCCCTAGGCCGAAGCCACGGTGCCTTATTGCGCTTGGCCGACAACCCCGGCTGACGTATCCTTCCCTGCCGTCACAAAATAGGCAGAATAAATAAGTAATTATGGTCTATTTTAATTTTTCAGGTACAGTCTAGACGAAACAAGTCCAGGCAAGGACGAGGCAGCTCACTACGAGATCCTAAGCAAGTTGACTGAGAACCAGCAAGATGGCGACGCGTCACAGGAGAAATGTCCTCTTAGCGATGGCATGAAAGCCGTGCAAGTAGGCAATCCGCAATGACAATAACTAGTCAATATAATATATTAGCTCCATTTTCCTATAGACTCAATCTTGTAGGTGTTTCTTTAGAAAAATCATTTAATATTTTTTCTAACAACAAACCTAATTTTCCGGATTTGTAACTTTTATAGCATCTTAATTATCCATTATCCCTTGGTGTATTGATTAAGTGAGGATAGTACATTGTCTTATTATAAGACGAATTATAATTTGACTGAGTTTTTAAAGAAACTGTTTTTAACTGAGTTTTTAAAGAAACAATCAAAATAGTAATAATAATTATGACTCTTTAGATAGATAAGTCGTGTTTGTGTTCTAATGTTCCAAGGAGTTGGAATCTATATTTAAGACTTACCTTAATTTAGCACAATAAACTGTAACTGAAAACCAATATTATAAACATTCTTTCCAATGACTTCTACGGTCAAAAGTGCAAACACACTCTACCAATGCAATGAATTAAAGTGTGTAAAACTCCTTTGTAATACAAGTTCAAGAATCTAAAAATCTGTCTATGATTACTTTAGAATCTATGCTAGAAATTGTAAATGAACCTCTGTTCTTAAACTATAAAAAAATTTAGACACTAGCATTGATAAAATGCAGCTGCACTTTCGACCCTCACTGTACATCGTACAATATTGAATACTAAGATATTTTGTTTTTAATAGTGATGATAATAACAATTCTTTATATATTTCAAAATGTAACAAAGTTCTTTAGTATGAGATTTCTACTTGTCATTGTTTATTTGCATTAACTTCTTCCAATTACCATAATTTCGTTCCTAAAACTATTATTGATATTTCTTCTATTTCTAAAATTGTGTATAAAATACTAAGTTAACAATGAAATAAATTCATAAGAGTATCGCTATTTCTAGATACCAAAAAAACTTATTAGTATGGACCATATATTATATATTTGACTGGGTCATCATCCTTAGTAAATTTACGAACAGTAAAGAAGTTATGATACATAAACTATACGACAAAGAAACTGAATTTGAGCTGCTATTGAATGATAATAAAATTAACAGTAGACTGTCATCAAGTTAATTCAAGTGTCCTCCGTGCGCAGAGATAGTTTCCATACAAATAATTAAATTGCTCTGAGTACGTTAGTTAATTCAATAAACTGATTTGAATTTAAATTGATTTTTTTATGAACCAAACCAAATTGGTGTTGTTATGCTGGAAATGCTCGATCTTAATTCCATATTCTTATTACAGGAAAGTACATTTGATAATAATATCCTCTTAAAATATTTGTAAATAACACAACATCGTATTAGGTATCTATTTGTCTGTCTGTATTAGCTAACAAATTTAGTGAATAACAAAAATTAAATACATAAATATCAGAAAAAAAATTATGAAGCCACAATTCTATTTTTTAAACTAAAATTCTATCATAGGTTGTTCTAAATTAAGCAATAAAAGAACGTAATTTTAAAGACATTAAATAATAATGTACTAGGTAAATATAATTGAAAATGATTTACATAAACATATAAAAAGGTTTTTTACCTAAGTAATAATTTTAATACTTAGTTGGCATATTAAAGTAGATGCATTACAGCCCCATACTTTTTGTGTATTTTTTGCGCAAACTGTTTGCGCAGTTTACTGTACTTTGCTTAAAGTTCGCATTCCTAAAGCGCCATGTTCACATTTCTCAGTGAGTATAGTAAGAAGTAGTTAAAAGTAGTAGACTACTCTACTCCTAATCTATTACAATTTAGCTTTAGTTAAATAATGTCAATATTCTGGGCTCAAAATTCGCAACGTAACACTCGCTTTTTTATGAATAAGTTAATTGCAAAGGCTTTCAATTACAATCGTTAGCGAAGGTATACGTTTCAGCTGTGGTTTTTGGTAGTAAAAGACGATAATCTATGAAAGCTTAATAGCTCAGATTTTACCAAAGACTTGAACTAAGTGCTAGGGATATTGCAAGCACTTGTGTTTAAGAGTCACTGTCTTGATCAGATCTGATATCACCTTTACGCTATCTTAAAAATAATCAAAATAATTGTGCATATCTGTAAACTGCTAAGAACCACGTTGGCGTACATTAATTATTATTCTACAATCTTTAAGAGATAATAATTATGAATTATAGTAACAGAAACATGATTGATTCAGGTAGCTTGCAACTGGCTGATATTGAAGTCATTCAGGGAGGCTTATGTTCGGTGGTTGTTTTGTAGCCAATGATTATGATGTTTTCGATGTAATAGCGGTAACACAACTCACAAACAGAAAGCTGAAATTGAAAGGACGAATTCCATTTTGTACTCACTACATGGTAAAATGATCACAATATGGTGTAACTAGTCTTGTCTCGAAAGAAATGATAAGAAAACAAGATGTTTTATACTTTGACATTACCTAAGAATAAGATTAACATAGGAAACTATAGATATAAGAATTGTGTCGTAATTAATTCAAACTAATTTCCGCCCTAATCGGACACGCTGCATACAACGATGATAATAATAATACTTATTGCTATTACAAGTTTATTGTATAAATGCCAAGATTGTTAATTTTATACAAACATTTTTAGCAATACAATATTTTTCGTGAATTTCTGCTGTTTTATTTCACTTTTTAGCACTTGTGTACTTTTTTCTCTCCCACGATACATAATATACTATACTACCTTTTTTGTTTGCATATTAATAGGTACAAATTAAACATTCCAATTCGCCGTGTGACTGTTAGTAAGGTTAACTGGAGGTCCAATCCTATCCCTCCCTAATTCTTAAATATCCGAAACCCTTATCCTTAAACGCCGGCAACGCACTCGTAACTCCCATTTTGTTACTGGTGTCCATAGGCGAAGCCATTCGGCTGCTCGTTGCCGAACGATTGCATAAAAACATACATAAATATGATGATATAGGTACGTCAGTGGAACAAAATTCTCGTTAAATGTACTTACTTATTATAAACATTAATAATTTTAAATACTGTTTTATTTCAGTTTTAATTACACTAATTTACAATAAAAACGCTAAAATTAAATCTTTATAAATTATACACTAATTGCTTATAATCATGTCATGGGTATCACAGTTAATTTGTCAATAAATCATAATTATTTGTATAAAATTCTAATGACAAGACACTTTGCAGCTTATTCAGTCTTCAATAGTTTCAATATCCAATGGCTCATCTTGTTTTTCTTCGTCCGTTGACCAGGACGAGACGCTTAAATTACTTGCGTCTCTTTCACACAGTTTTGTTCTGTCTCTGTCGTGTTGTTCAAGAGTAATGCTGAATGGAATGTTGGATACGTCAGTTGACGTCCATGAACATGGAGTTATAAAGGAGACGTGAGCGGAGGTGGTGGCTGGAAGGGTCACAGCTATCGGAGGTGCGATATTACCACATTTCTCTCTTCGCTCCCTGGCACGTCGATTTTGGAACCATATCTTTATCTGAGAACAATGTTTTCAACTTTTATAACACCTTGATTTCAGAAAGGTTACTGTTATTTTTGCCATTGGCAATTTATTTACCTTACATAAAAAACAAGCACACAAAGCAACAATTTAAATAGCATAAAAAATAAAAGTAAGTTTTCTTTATTTAGTTAATCATATTATTTTCTATACAACTAAATTGAAGTAGGTACGTACATACTACGCTAGATATTTTACATACAATAGCGTGTGACCGCTCTGACATAATGTCGTTCCCAAGTTTATCTGATTAATTAATAATGGCTTTAATTTGGTTATTCACAGTGAGAATTAACTTTTATTCTACAACGAATACATAAGATCTACAGGTCAATGTCCTATTATTATCTACATTTAAAAATATTTAAGTATTTGCCAATCATTTCGGATAGTAACGGATACGTGATTAATAAACCAAATGATACGGATAATATACCAGCACTCAATTTCTAAAATCTAGATTGAGAATATGGAGATTATGGAGTTTCTTGCTCGTTCTTCTCCATCCGAATCTACAATTTGGAATGAGCACCTAGCTTCACTGACGAACTGACTGACAGACTACTTTTCTATTTTGACGTTTCAAAAGTACTTAGGTACCTATTTATAGTTTAGGTAGTTGGAATAAATGATTTTGACTTTGACTTTGAATATAAATAAAACACATAAGTAACAACCACAACTTCCCTATAGACATATCCATTCCCTCACTTTTAAATAGATAGGTACTTCATTAGTCAATTCATCCCCGCAATAACCTTTTAAGTATATGTAAGTAGGTAGTTTCAGTAGGTAGGTTTTTTTTTTTTTTTTTTTTGTGAGGGGAAAATCATCAAATGACTTCTCCCGCCCAGGGCCGGGCAGGAGGGAGTGTCAGACTCTTACTGACTAAAAACCCCCCTGTTCCTTCTCCTGCTCTGTGCCGAGGTCGCGGTACCTTATTGCGCTTACCCCGCAACCCCGGCTGAACATCAGCCCTTTAGGGCCCCGTCTGTGGTGGTCTATTGGCTCTTTGAGGCGCGCGCGGAACGCTACGCGCCGTACGCTCGGGCCTGGTTCTGGTCGGGCGGCGAGCTGCCCTTACTCGCCGACCGCAGGCCCGTACTTACGGTGGCCGGAGATCGTCCCTCGATCCCCGACGCCCGTAGTGTCGCCAGTTGCGGCTGCTGGGGCGTGAGGAGGAGGATTGCTCCCTCACGCGGGCAGCCTCTCTCTTTGCGAGCATGACTGCTTCACAAAAGGAGGAGACGGCGTCCCAGTTCCTCTCACTCCGCACTCAGTAGGTAGGTAGGTATCGATTATGATCAGAAATGAACGTGGAGGTAATTAGGTACCTAGTCATGAATTACCTGCCTAAAAAAAAAAAAAAAAAACAAAAAAAAACCTAATACGGAAAAATCATGTGTAACAAATTGATTGCACTCACTCTATCATCACGTAATTGCAAGGCTGCGGCGAGGGCACGCAAGGCCGGGGGAGCGAGGTACGGCGCACGCGCATATGCGGCCTCCAACGCCGCGGCCTGAGCTGCCGTGAACGGCACCCGAGCGTGCCGGCCCGACCGTCTCGCGCGACCACCGCCACTGCTCACTGCACCTGTTGCAAAAACGTCCGGAGTCAATTGAGGAAGTAAACAAAACTTAAATAAGTAGTAGGTATAACAACTATCGCTGCGCTGTGACGTCACAATGCGCTGGTGTTATTGTCCCAAAAAAATCCTTCTTTATTGGAATACTAGCTATATCCTTCCTCGATAAATGGACTCACAAACACATAAAGAATTGTTTAATTCGAACCAGTTGTTTCGGAGATTAGCGCGTTCAAACAAACTCTACCACTTTATCATATTACATTATAATAAAAGTAAAGATGGTGATAAACTGGCAGAAGGATTACTCGATGGTAAGCAATCGGCGCCACGGGAATCGCAAGTGCATTACAAACCTTTGGGGGTTATGGATTTGAGGATCGGGGATAGAGATGGGATAGGGCCTCAGATAACTTCACTGACACAACGCCAACGTAGTTTAACTTTAGTCGAGCCGACCCATTCGTGCCGAAGTAGGTAGGTATGGCTCTCCCACAAATAATATCTGTTTTTTTTTGTGAGGGGAAATTCATCAAATCTTCTCCCGCCCAGGGCCGGGCGGGAGGGAGTGTCAGACTCTTGCTGACTAAAAAGTCACCTGTTCCTTCTCCTGCTCTGGGTCGAGGTCGCGGTACCTCATTGCGCTTGCCCCGCAACCCTGAACATCGGCTCTATAGGGACCCGTCTGTGGTGGTCTATTGGCTGTTTGAGGCGCGCGCGGACCGTACGCTCGGGTAAATAATATCCCTGTGACTTTTATCTCCATAACCATCATAATTTTGTATCCTCTTCACATCTTTTGCCTCATAACTAGGCCGAGGTTAGTATGTGCCGCTCATTATACTTGGTATACAGACAATGACTCGCAATAAATGTCTGGGTAGATGACTAACAGACATATTAAAAATTAGTAATTTAACATTATGTGAAATGATAACCTCTGGGAACTCCATAAAAGGTATAAGATGGTTTATGAAATAAACTGATGATACAAGAAATTTTCACCTTCTGTATACTAGCTTGTCATTGAAGATACTGATGTAATTTGTTCATTATGCGTTGCAAAATTAGGTAAGTTATCGAATCGGGAATCATAGGGACAGGCGAAAGCGTGTCTGACTAAAAACTGCTTCGGTCCTTTTCTTGCTCCATGCCGAAAATGCGGTTGTGATGACCACCCAGGACATGGTGGAGCATACGGTGGCCCTATAGGGCTGATGTTCAGCCGGGGTTGCGGGCTAAGCGCAATAAGTCACCGCGGCCTCGGCCCAGAGCAGGAGAAGGAACAGGGGAGTTTTTAGTCAGCAAGGGTCTGACACTCTCTCTCGTTTTACCCTGGGCGGGAGAGGTTATTTGATGATTTTCCCTTGACAAAAAAAGGCCGAGGCTGCGGTAGGTACCCCCATTATTACTCATCTCAACCTCAACTGAACCACAACTTAGCCCTGTTGAGCCCCACCTATGGTGGTCTTTTGCATTTTTGAGGCGCGCGCGAGACACGATACCTATGTATATAGGTTCTTTCGTAGATAAACATTTCTCACTTGCAGGTCTCGTAACAGGACTTTACCTTTCAAAAAACCTTGGGCTAAAATGACATTAGGTAATGAAGCTATTGTTGCAAATAGAATTTTGAAACCCTAACTTCCTATTACAGGTGGGTATTGTAAAACAATGTTTTTGATTCAATTGATCTCTATTGAATTGTTATCCTTAATCTGCTATTATAAAAAACAACCATGAATTAATAAACCTACTTAGGTACCCATCTAAGTATATTTATAAAGGTATAAAATCGGATTCATTGTATAATTATTATCATACTAGCGACTCGCTCCAGCTTCGCACATGCTGATATTTATTTAGTGGAGACACCACTATTTATTAATAAATATTATTACATATATGTATATACGATGTCACCAATCACTATCTATTTAAAAAATGCATCAAAATCAGTTGCGTTGACTTACTTACCATACATAGGATGATAGCGGCAGAGAAAGTAACTTTGTTTTATAGGTACCTACTATGTAGTGACGCATATTTCCTGTATACAAATAGAACACTTACGTGGTAACCGAGGTGGTCTGTACCGGGTGCAACACAACCAGTCCGGAACTTCCACATTGTCGGTTCGTTTGCTATCACTACTTAAAATCCGTTCTATACTAAAATCAGAGCCACACTTAGCACTCGACTGTACCGGAGAATCCATGTCCAGTGGTCACCGAAAGCTCAACATTCAGAAAACAACTAAAAGGTAATCCATTATCTGCCACCCTTAAAATATATTTTAGATAATAGGGGGAGGAGAATTTTTAAGCCACGCCTATAGATTTGGGAATGTTTAGGGATCGTTATCGGGAACCGCATCTTTGGTCCCGGGTCCCTGAGGGTTGTACGCACCAATGAGCCGACGAGTGTTGTGACGTCCGTTCATTCATACGTCCCGCAAATTGAATGGTAAAGAGATACTGTTTACACACAAAAGGATGATATTACTTTAAGGGTTTGTGGGAAAATTAATTTGTATTTCTATTATATCGCCTTTGTTGAAGATTAATCGGGATGTAATGTGATATGTTATGTAATAGCTTATTAAAATTCAATAAAAGCTGCGAATAGGGACCTACATCGATTCTTTGATTATTTTTCGTTTTGTGATGAAATTGGAAACACTTGCCATGTGTTGTTAAAATATTAATATTGAATTGATATTTGATACCCCGATTTGTAACATTTTACTTAGGTTGTAAAGATTGATTAATCTTTTTTTTTATAAAGTAGTTACTAGCGATCCGCCCTGGCTTCGCACGTGTACAATACTGATATCTACTATATTTCTCCAATATTTAATAGATGTTATTATACATAAGCATAAGCATTCCTTTACAACCACTTTATATATAAAGAAAATGAGCATCAAAATCCGTTCTCTACTTTAAAAAATTAAGCATACTTAGGATTATAGGGACAGAGAAAGCGACTTAGTTTTATAGTAAGTATGTGGTGAAGTACGTTTTTAATTGTACATCCATAGAACTTCTCTACTGTGACCATTCCATTGAAAGCTAAATATGTGTCCAGAAATCAAAGTACAAAACAATAATTTAGGTACTTGCCCTACATTATTTCCTAACTGTTACTGTTGTTACCATCAATAGAAGTTTAACAACCGACCGTAACGTCTATTGAGAATTGAGAGCAGTAATTATCTGCAAATTGCGATTTACATTGTGATAAAGTGCGTTGACAGTGCGGTACGCAACCATTCAAGTACCACATTATACTATTGTCAAACATTGAATCGTAACAGAATTGTATAATGCAATAAATTATCTACCACTTGTAGACATTGGTGCAGGATTTGTGAAAGATTCACCGCATTGATAACGATGTTGTTAAATGCAGATGCGGATTTATCTTGTTTTGAAATCGTTATTTATTTATTTAATCGTCGTGGTGGCCCGGAGGTTAAGGAGCCCGCTTCTCATGCCTAAGAGTGTGGGTTCGAAACCTGGCAAGTACCAATGTGACTTTTTCTATGTACTTTCTATGATTATTTAGACATCACTGACATACGGTGAAGGTAAACATTGTGAGGAAACCTGGACTTATAATTCTAATTACAAGTTTGAAATCGCCAACCCGCATTGAGTAAGCGTGGGGATCAATGCTCTAACCTTCTCCGTATGAGAAGCGTCATTTGCTCAGCAGTGGGCACTCAGCATAGGCTGATGATGATGATTTATTTATTTATGTTAATACAGAATGGAACTAATTAGAACAAAAAAATTACAACATTCATAGATTACTCTCGCAGTACCTACCTACCTCATGCAGAATATTTCCTTCCATCCGTCAGCAAAGAAATCAAAAGTTATAAGATTCCAGGAGATCGTTAAGCTAGACTAAAGTGCGAGAAATTGGGGACTTAGCACATTATGGGGAAAATAATTCGCGTTAATACCCGCGTAAATATAATGTTGTTAAGATGAAACGCGAAAGTTTAAAAGTTAGTATAATGTAATAGCTGTCTCCGGATTGTTTCTAAAAGTAACTTATAAAATTAAATGGATAAAATTACAAATATAAAGTCAATAACTTCTGTTTTATTCTAAAGTAGCAAAACATATTGCCTAGTTGATGATAAGCAGGGCAACTTTCTTTCCTAAACAAATAATCTTCAAATAAAATTCATTCTTATTACTATTAAACCATCTACCTGGCAGTTATAATAATGAAATGCATACTTAAGTAAAAAGAGCGTGTGAATAAGGTAGTTAAATGAAACATAAAATTAACAATGTTGAAATGCACGCCCTGCTTCACAGAGGAAGCAACAATGAATACAAAGTGAGGCAGCGCTAAGTTTATTGTTTATTGGACGAAAGCCTTACTCTATGGCAAACCGGTAACCGGCGCAAGCGCAGGCCAGAGACTCTATGAGGTAATCAAGGTTGCCTCCGACACAAACCACGGCGCCGGCTCCGCTCACTCGCATTGTGACTTCACTCTCTGCGGTAACAACACAAGATAAACAAACAAACGTTGCAATAATCAAAACCTTGTGCGTAAACTCAGTTACAATTATGTCCATACCTGAGTATTTTCAACTGGAGGGCGGTGACCGCATGCCGCGAATTGGATTCGGCACTTGGCAAGTAAGTTTCAAATGAAATATTAAGTAAATATTCATATTGTTGTTTATTTTTTTCAAAAACAATCTATAGTTAGACAGTCAATACTTATTAATTGAGAAAACTTCTGCCAAAGGATGACAAACCACAAAAATATAAGCAATAAATACATTAAAACAATTTCGATATCGCAATAACATGTCTATAAAATATGTTCATGGTCAATTTGAGATATTCGGCATTTGTTCCTAGACACTGCAGTAAAAAACGCCGCTGTAGCAAAAACACAATGTTATGTAGATACATCAATCGTTGCGATTATTACACGCCTATGCTTCTTCTGTTTCTTTATCGGAATCTTCCGCTTTTTCATTCTTACTAAGCTTATTCTTAGCTTTAAGATATTTTTTATATTTTCTCCTTTTAAGAAAATTTAAGTACTTTTTGAATATATTCCACTTGTTACGACGTAATTGTGTACTTGATGAGTGTATGACGCAAGGCACCTCGGTGTACTCTGGGAAATACATGCTGTATGGTGAATCACATGAGCACTTGTTGCTACAAAACGATATGGACTCGCTCCCGTCGAAGTCTCCACTGGAGTGCGACAGCCCCCGCGATGTGGAGGCACGACAAGGGCTAGTTTTCTTGGTCCACTTTTCTGAAACTTGTTCAGTATTGATACATAATTCTGAAGGTTTTGAAGTCATAACAAAAAGCCAACAAAAGTCTCTGTGGTATCCACTAGCCGTTGATTAGCCATTTGGTGGCACGGTTAGTTTACACATTCTTATTTGTTAACGAACAATTTGGCCAAATCTTGTATCGAAAACCAGTTTTCGGATATAATTTTATGAGGAATTGAAAGTGAATTTTGACAAACATTACATGTCACTGAACCTTGACGGTAATTGATAAGACAAAAGGTGGAAGTGACGCGGGACGGGCAAGGAGACCGATAGTAAAGAATCTATTTATCGTTGTATTTACTACTTTGCAGGCCGCAGACGATGTCTTGGAGAAAGCAGTGGAGGCTGCTCTGGAGGCGGGGTACCGACACTTTGACACAGCACGAGCCTATGAGAATGAGGCAGCTCTCGGGCGTGCCTTGAACCGCTGGATCGGTGGTGATCCTGAGCGGAGAAAGCAGTTGTTCGTTGTAACCAAGTTACCCCCTGGAGGTAAGTCAACAAATAAGTATATACTAGGCTATAGGTAAGGCTAAAATAATTTTAGTGTTGGTTTGTTGGGTACTTGCATTTATCGAGGAGGCAAATATAACGTCATCGATGCTATAAGCCACACATTAAACACAGAAGCGAAAGGCAAGTAGGTAAGGAAAGGGTTGGAGGTGGATTAAATATAACACAAAAGACTTAATGTGCCTTGGCATCCACAAAAACAGATTGTTTAAACAACCCATCCATCACGTCTTGGTTGAAGCCACCTATCAAAATAAATAAAATCAATTAACATTCCTTCTAGAATTGGCGTCTGCAATGGTAGGTACAGCCTTCAAGGTCATTCATTATACATAAATTATAAAAGGTCTGTTTCTTAACCTAGCTGTACCATTTACCTACCTGATGGTAAACAATTGGCTCCGATTATGAACACCCGCAACACCAGAGGAGTTGCTAGTGCGTTGCCGGCCTTTTAGGGATTAGGGGTTTTCAGAATTTAGGGATTAGGGAGGGATGGGGGGCGGGGAAGGATTAGAGCTCCGGTAACCCACTCATATGGCCAATTCAACGCTGTCACACAACCTCCATTCTCACCCCGGTCAAGCCGACCCAAGCATTTTTTTTGCCCAATTCAGTATTTTTAGTCATATTATCACAGTTGTCGTTCTTAAATTATACAGAAAAAATTAAAACAAACTTAATATTAAATTAGTTAATGAGATTTTAATTGGTTTTAAATACTGTAAGTAATTAATTATTCGCATAAATAATTGGTTTTTGATTAAGGAAATAACTCTGTTAGAACGTTGCAAACTAGGCCAGATGTAATGAACAAAACTTTATTAATCTAGCATTAAAATTAGCTAACTAAACGCAAATACGATTGCTATTCATGGTCTCGTGTAGGATTCTCCGCTTGGGCAACTATTACTTTGCTTCACAAATTTTAGAATAGTACCTAGATTGTTTAGTAAAATAAAATAGCCCGTACAACAGAATTCTGATCGGTGTCTGATTCTGAGTCTGATCTTGATACGTGTTTAGATCCAACAGGATGCAGGCAATAGGCAGTACCTTCTATTACAGTCACAATAATACGATTACTAACGAAAGTACAAAACGGCTTTTTTGCTATATTAAGTTGGAGCAGAAGAAATGGATAAATAATCTTACTAATATTATAAATGCGAAAGTTACGAATGCGAAAACAGCTAGACGGATCTAGATAAAATTTGGCACAGGCATAGGATACACCTTGGAATAGAACATAGGCGAAGCCGCGGCGAAAGCTAGTATCCCATAAACCTAAAATCAAGCACTGAGCTGTAATTAATATTTTTACTTTTCCACACAGGGAACAGACCAGAACTAGTACAGGAGTATTTTGA